TATTTACTCCCTTCACCTTGACTCCCATCACGTTTCACATCCGAAGACATTTCTCGGGCATATTGAGTTTCCATCAGCTGCTAGGCGAAGGTCCTTTTACTTCCAGCCACGCAGCAACCTCTTCCAAAGGAGAAAACCTAAAGGGCCGCTCGTCTATCGAAATATAACCTCGACGTTTATCGTGAATTTCCGGTCGAAAAACGATTCTCGAAAGAGTATAAGGAAGTGGATGGTCCATGTTGAAGAATTGATCGAGTCCCTCGTATTGCGCAATTTTATGAATGGTTGCGTTCCTACATTTACGTTTCTTCGATTGTTATGTTACGGTTATTTGCTATTTTCTCAGAATGGAATAAAACGTAATTAACTTTTTTAATATTTTTACTATTAAATATTAATATTTTTTTTTAACTTTCTTTAATATTTTTGAAAAAACATTTAATACTTTTAATATTCTTTTTACTTCTTTTATTACTCTTGTATCTTTTAACATTCTTATAAGAGTGCACACTTTTAGAATAGAATCTTTTGCAGTGTTTTTGGTCGCAAGCTGAAGAGTATTCATTTAGAGATTTTTTATTTTTCACAGTATTTTTAACGTGATTGTTGCTCGAATGATAAGTACGAAAGTTTTCCTTTAATTTCGATACACGAACTGCGTAATCCCCTTGGTTTCGATAAAAAATTCATCTGGTAAGTGAGCTATAGAAATTGCGCTATTGCTTTGTCACGTTGTAACCTTGAAACCGTAACTCGTTTAAAGAGGTGTATCGAAGCGAAGCCTCCATTAGAACCTAAATGGATATGTTTCCCTCGTTAACCACATAAATGACATTCCGACGAGTAAAAGGTTTTCTTCCGTGCTGAAAGCAAAGAGCTTTCTCTTTGTTCCATAGAAACGCGGTAAAATTGCGACACGAAATTTACTATATAATATCAAACTCTAATTATTCCTGAGTAAAATGCAAAAAGACAAAGAGATAAACGTAATTTAAAAAATTTCATTATATGAAATTTCACGAAATTTCTTGTCAGAAACAGGCTGTAAAATAATTTTGATAATTTTTATCCACCATTCGTGAGTTATACTGTAATTGAAATTTTCTTTCATTTATTTAAGCAGATTTCTTTGCGACAGGTGACGTGAATTTCCCCGGTTTTAGCGACGTTAAATTCAAATGAAGTTTGACATTCAAATAAAGAAGAGAAACGCGGTGGCAGAAAACTATAGGGAACACGTGCATTTACTGACACATATCCCCAGGCATTACACGTTGCAAAATTACTGACGCAAGTAATTACTTTCTCACGATGCTATGCACAAATTGAATATTAATCACCGTAGGAGTGAAGCAAATATCATTTGCAATCAGTAAAATATTGTGGTTCGGTGCGTTAAGTAGGATGAAATCGAATCTTAATATTAGTCTGATTATGAAAATTTTAAATTGTAAAATTATGTATTGAAAGTTTTTAAGTTTTTCGATTCAATGCTTAAAATTCCTCAATTCTTCCATTTTGGGATTGAAAAGTTTGAAATTCTGAAATCTAAGGTTGCAAATTTTCTAATTTTGAAATCTAATATTGCAAACTGTCCAATTCTGAAATCTAATGTTGCAAATTTAAAAATTCTGAAATCTAAGGTTGCAAATTCTCCAATTCTGAAATCTAAGGTTGCAAATTTTCTAATTTTGAAATCGAATATTGCAAATTGTCCAATTCTGAAATCTAATGTTGCAAACTGTCCAATTCTGAAATCTAATGTTACAAAGTTTCCAATTCTGAAATCTAAGGTTGCAAATTTTCCAATTCTGAAATCTAAGGTTGCAAATTTTCCAATTCTGAAATCTAAGGTTGCAAATTGTTCAATTCTGAAATCTAATGTTGCAAAGTTTCCAATTCTGAAATCTAAGGTTGCAGTTTCCAATTCTGAAATCTAATGTTGCAAAGTTTCCAATTTTGAAATCTAAGGTTGCAAATTTAAAAATTCTAAAATCTAAGGTATCAAATTTTCCAATTCTGAAATCTAATGTTGCAAAGTTTCCAATTCTGAAATCTAAGGTTGCAAAGTTTCCAATTCTGAAATCTAAGGTTGCAAATTTTCCAATTCTAAAATCTAAGGTATCAAATTTTCCAATTCTGAAATCTAAGGTTGCAAATTTTCCAATTCTGAAATCTAATGTTGCAAACTGTCCAATTCTGAAATCTAAGGTTGCAAAGTTTCCAATTCTGAAATCTAATGTTGCAAACTGTCCAATTCTGAAATCTAAGGTTGCAAATTTTCCAATTCTGAAATCTAAGGTTGCAAATTTTCCAATTCTGAAATCTAAGGTTACAAATTTTCCAATTCTGAAATATAATGTTGCAAATTTAAAAATTCTGAAATCTAAGGTTGCAAATTTTCAAATTCTAAACTCTGATGTTGCAAATTGTCCAATTCTGAAATCTAAGGTTGCAAATTTTCCAGTTCTCTAATTAAATATTGAAGATTTTGAATTCTAAAATTGGATATAAAGAACTCGAAACTTCCAAAATAAGATATCGAAGATTTGGATAGTAATTATTCTGAACGTAATTATTCTACGACAATCTCATCCAGCTAAAAAAGGGAATTGTCAAACTCTTTCACGTACTATTGCGACAAAAACGCATAACAAAATTCGGCCAATAGTGATTTCGAATACTTGTCACGCACCACAGGCATTTTGTAATACTTTGTCCTCTGCTACGAAATGTGACCGTTGCTTTTCATGAAATCTTGGTTGGGTGACACAGTTGTGCGAGGTCTTCTAAACGTACGTGCGCTTGAAATGCAAATGACCAAAGAAAAAGTTGGTTCTGGTGAACCTATGAAAAGAACATCCTCCTACACTGTCCGCAATTCATAATCTCCTTTTGAAGTCCAATTTCCTTACTGAATGAATCAAACGTACCTCAACATCGATGGATTGAAAAGTCTATATCAATATCGAATAATTAAAAAATTTGTTCCAATATCGAATAATTAAAAAATGCATCCCAATATCCATCCGATAATTGAAAAATGTATCCCAATATCGAAGAATTGAAACATGTATCCCAATATTGAAGAATTAAAAAATTTGTTCCAATATTGAAAAATAAAAAAATGCATCGCAATATTGAAGAATTGAGAAATTTCTAGCATCGAATCCAAAGATTTCAAATCGTTCAATACTGTATTACTCATTTTTACCTGAAATTTAATTTAGATTTTTCACAATTTTCCTCAATTAAATTTCTTATCCGAATAAAATAGGAAAAAAATTACTAGCGAAATTTTCTGATTAACCAAGGTATTAGGCAGTCGATGAACTCACCATTCGTGGGTTGATGTTCTCGGTAGCCAGGATTATTTATGGTGGCCGCACGAGGATCACCGACAACCCTAATCTTCGTCGGGTCACCGCCTCGTCGAGCATAAATACCCTCATACACCGCGGTGACCAGCACGCCAAAGTTCAAGGCGATGGCGGCCAACTGGAACAACAAATTTTCAATCCTTTCTTCAATCAAAAATCTCAAATCAATCGATAATACATCTATATCATAAAACTTCCTTCGTATTCTCCGAATATTTCTATAAAAATTAGTCCTTAACCCCTTAACCTATGATATCTTTTCTGACTATGCATCTAAGCGTCAGCCATTTAATGTTTCAGTACTGTGTCATGTAACAAAAGCTAATCTGTTACAGACTCTTATATCTTACAAATTAAAACGAAAGTTAGGATTACGATGAATTTTTCTCGCTAATATGTAAGGTAAAAACGGTCAGGATAACGGTGGTGAGCGGTGGAATAAAATATAAACGTGGGCGGTTAAACAGGGTGAATCCTTGTATTTTGAACTATACTGCACGAGTGCTGATACAATTCTGTCCTTCCTGAAAAACCTAGTCAAGAGGACCCCCTTGACAATATGGCCTTTCTTAGCCTTGAGGCAAAACTATCCCTAGGAGGGGGAAACGCAGCAGAAGACTGCACATGGCCCACTCAAGCCTTCGCTTTTTGGACTTTTCTAACAAATATAACTATTTTTCTCACATCTTCACCAGAATCTCTGCCACGAGTCTGATACGTTACTGTAGGTTAAAGGGTTAATCATTGAAAATTAACCATTCATAAAATACATATTCTACATCAATACACAAGATAACAAATCTTCAGTTGAAAGTATTGCGACCTCATTAGGGCGCAACGAAGCTTCGGTTTGGCGGATTATGACAATAAATGATTTAGTCACATTTGACCGCCAGACCGAGGTGCCGACGTTCGGCAAACCACCATATACCCCCCGTGGACGCATCGGCGCGACACTCGGACAATAGGTCCCAAAATACTCATTCGTCACTCAAAAATCACATCTTTCGTCGACCAATAGTAAAACATGCTACATTTTCCACCTTCGTAACACAACAACCAATCAGAACCAACACAGCGTCTATAGATACACCTACACACCAGCGAAACACGAATCATTGTTAGACCAGTGAACGATATACAGTAATGTCTCCACAAGTGTCAGTCCGCAAGGAACCTAAACCTGACACTTGTAGAGTCAGGGACTACGTTTTCGAGCCTCGCGCCCGAAATTATGTCGTGTTTGATATCATTTTCATCAGAAAAATCTCAGCAACATGTTAAAAAAAATTTCAGATGAAAAAAAGTAAAATTAAAGAAATTATATTTTTCTATTATGAATTGTCCAGCTGTGACTGACAGGGAGCGAGATAACATAGGCGCAGCAATGACGCAGACCTAGGCGTAGGACCATCTATACTGACACTTGTAGAATCCAAACTGACTGACACTTGTAGAGAATTTACTGTACATCGTCACGACGACAGACACAGTTTTTCCAAAGGCTCGCCCGAGAGTCTCGTAATACATCGCATCAGACTCGATCGAAAGTCACCTACCAATTTTCAACACGGTCATCAGGACTAATTTCCCGGTGACCAGCGTCGCGAGCGAGCGTAAGCAGGATTTACGACCCTGCGAAATTCACCGAATAATTGCGGAGCAAGGGACGCAAATTCTACATTTTTAACGAAATCGCCGTGAAATTTAACAATTCTCAATAATTCACGGTGATTCTTAGGAACGAAACTTTCTCCAACGAATCGCAATCACCGAAATTAATTCAATTTCCTCTTGGAACGATACCTCAGAGGATTAATAGAGTTGAAGGAATTTATGATACGCCGTTGAGTTTCTTTCCGCGATAAATTCACCGACAAGACGGTTCTAAATCACGGTGTTCCATTTTTCAAGAATAAACGCTCATTTTTCTCCGACCACTGTTCGTTTCAATTTTAACGGGGTTCTTTTACACCGCAGTCCAGAGGATCGATGGACGGGAGAGAGACTTGATCGAAAGGGGAAAAGGGATAATTGCGATGCTTATTCCATTTGGAGTGATCGTTGCTTGACGGAAGTTTATACATATTTATATTCGGAGAAACGATGGACAATTTTACTCTGGTATAATTAACAACCTCTTCTCTTCGCTGACAATTAGTGGAAATAAACGAGGTAGAGTTTCCGTGCACTGCTCGAAGAAGAGGCTGAGAACGGTTTCTAGAGAAATTCATTGTTTTCTGTATTTTCGTTGATTATTTTGAGAAAATAACTGAATAATAATTGAACGGGTGAGAAGAAGAGGAAAAAGATTTTAGCGAACTGATACGGTTGCTTATTTTGTAAAATTATTTCAATTCTTATTCTGTAAATGTATTTTTAGTAAGTTGAAAAATTGTAAGCGTGGGTCATTTATGTTGAACACGTTTTTCAATGGGAAAAATCTTTTAAAAACTCTGGAAAAATAACACGTTTTCTACCAGACCAGTTTAACTAAATTTTTAGAATAACATTTAACCTCTTTTTTGTATTTAGTAAGTTGAAAAATTGTAAGCGTGGGTCATTTATGTTGGACACGTTTTTCAATGGGAAAAATCTTTTAAAAACTCTGGAAAAATAATACGTTTTCTACCAGACCAGTTTAACTACATTTTTAGAATAACATTTTACCTCTTTTTTGTGTTTTATTAGAATTACAAGGAATACTTAAAAATAATTGTAAATAACCAGTCATTAGGTTACAGTAGTTGAATGCAGATTATGCTCTTTTTCTGAATCCTGATACACATAGAATAACCACAGTGAAATTTTTAACTTCATAACCAGAAACTTTCCCCTTCTAATCGTTAATTTAACTTGCAATTTTTTTCTCTGTTTCGTTTTCTCGAAAATAAAATCCAATGGAACTTACAACTTTACAATAAGAAAATTCTTCCTTGTAATCATTAATAGGGTAAAGTGGCCTAATATGAGACCCATTTCTTAAAGAAGTCATAACTGTCGACTAAGAACACTTTTATTAAAATTCGATACATGTTTTAAAAGTACGATATGTATTCTTTTGTAAGGTACTGGAATGTACGGTAAAGAAAATTCGGTTCCTTCGTAATAAAATAAAAACGAAAATTATGCAAATACACAGATTTAAAAAATGGGTTCCTAATATGAGAAAACTATTTTTTCTGTCTTTTTTCACACATTCGGCATATTAAATCTGTTTCTTCAGCACCGCAGACTTCGTGGGCTCGCCGGTAACACTTTGTACGCTGAAACAAAATTGGGTACCTAATATGAGACTCTTCTTGTAATAGGAACTTCCGAGTAGCTTCGAGATTAAGTTTTCGTTATTTAACGATACGCAACTAGTAAGCCTTAAACTCCATTGCATGCACTATACAACCGTATTTATGAAAATGATTATAAACTCACTATTTTCGAGGTATTTGTAATTTAATCGAACCACTTGAAAAACTTTCTGCGACGTATTGCACAAATATGCTTGTGCGAAGACGCTTGATTGATTTGAATCAAATTTGATAATTAACGCCGTTAATTACGAAACAAAACAGCATCGCTACGACATTGAAGAGTTCTGTAACGGAGATATGCCGGGGTCTCATATTAGGCTACTTTACCCTATAACTGCAAATCAGTTTTTTCAATTTTTCAAAAATAAAAACCAGTGGAATTTTCAACTTCACAATAAGAAAATTCTTTCTTCTAATCGTTAATTTAACTGCAATTTTTCCTTCCATTTCCTTTCCTCGAGAACAACCTCCACTTCAATCTCCCCCCTTCTCCTTCTCCCCTACTCAATTATTTTTAACAACATCGTATCATCAAGGAATTCACTCGTCGTTTATTCACCAAGAGAAACTCCTTTCCGGGTTCTCCCTTCTCCACACATTTCCAACGCAGAAAGAAATCCTCAACTTCCGTCACTCGTCCCCCGACAAGTGTTATCATTCTCTCTTCCACAGTTACCGCACTCGAGATTCAACCATTGTCATAACGGTGTATTAAGAATAACACGAAATTACGCAAGAGAACGATCAGCCGCGTTTCGCCCGGTTGTTAGATTAATTATACTAATTATCCGAAGCAGTTATTGTAGCGGAGAAAAGAGGCATGGCACGACAATCTACATCCACTCTGTCTACGTCATACCATCTCGTTGTCAGGAAATTCGCAAGGTTCGCCCCTGATTGTTCCCGCGAGAAACGCTCGTTTCCACCACGTTAAATAGCCTGTTTTCGCCAAGCTAACCGATCTTGTTGTCTACTCTTGCGAAATACGCTCGATCACCGGACGAGAAAAGGGTGGAGAGAACAGAATAGAACATACAAAAGGTCGAACGAGAAGAGGAATTTAATTAAGACGTACAAAGACGTCGACGAAGCCATTGTTTCGCCGTAATAATTCATTCACCGTTGTTTTTTTCTCCCATTGTGCGTTTCCAGCACCTTTCAGCCGGCAACACGAGGGAAAAACGGGGGAAACGAGAAGGAACAAGTGTGCGATCTAGCTACAATAACGCTGTTCTTTTCGAAGTTCTCTTTTATCAGCCAACGTTTATCAATTCTTTGGGAATTGTCGGGAGTGAAATTTTATGGAAATTTATGCGAACTGAACGATTGGAGATTTTTTGGCGATTATTTGGAAAGCAGATACCACGTCTGGGAAATGTTTACACAGCTTTTGTCGCTAATGTGACAATTTACCGAGCGATTTAGCGAATTGTGTAACGCGAGGTTTGTAAGAAATTGTTAAAATGTTGACATCTTTGGCGAAATTTGTTGGAGAGTTGTGAGAGATTATTTCGAAAGCGAGTTTCATGTGACAAAATTGTTGGTAAAATGTATGGAGGTTTTGAGTGTTATTTGAAAGGTGAGAAGCAGATGCGACGTCTGGAAAATATTTACACAGCTTTTGTCGCTAATGTGACAATTCACTAAATTCTGTAACGTGAAATTTGCAAGAAAAAATTTCTTAAAATGTTGAAGTCTTTAGCAAAATTTTACGGAAAATTATTCCGAAAGCGACTTTTAAGCGAGAAAATTTTAAATAAAATACTTAAAAATTGGAAGTAATTATTTGAAAACTGAGTTGAAGTAAAAA